GTAATCTGAAAACGATTTAAATCAAATATATATGCGGGCATAACCAATGTTTCACTTTACAATCACGTTCAGATGTTCACTTTAATAAGAACAGGCAACAGACCATCTTCGATAGGTCTTGATTTTATCGACAAGGAACATATTGTTTATGTATTGATTGTGGACTGAACTTTGGGTCAAAGCAATTATGTGGTCATCCGTTTCGACTTCATCTGGTATGCGGAAACTCGCCAACAGAATCTTGAAACGGTGCGCACCTTTACACGTTACAATCGCCTAGCTCTCTTCGGTAGTGACACAACGTGAATGTTCCCGGCTGAAGGTCAAACGGATGTCGTTCTACTCGAATGTTTCAGGAAATTTAATACACTGTTTATGGATGCTTTAGAGATAATGATCCTAAAATTCTTTTATTTCTTGAGCAACAGAACTGGAGAGTGTAGGATTGTAAACAATGCAGTCTGGCGGGTAATACATATTTTCATCATAGCCACATAATTAACCTATGTTATCCACTGGGCACAACTGCGCAGTTATGTCATAGCCGCAAATCAATACAAGAGAGCTAAAGCTTTCGGCACTAACCACAAACGGCTCTGCAAGTGTGTCAGTGACCATCGTAATTTAAGGCAAGAAACTTTTACGCTCCGGACGACTGTTGGTTCAAGTTAAACAGTTATAGAAGCTGCAGAGACCTTACCGTCGCAATATCCTCCCTCATTTTAAAGGGACTTACCATCAGTGCATCTTTCCAATCACTTTCCTCAATCCGGGGCTCATCAACCTTAATTTTACCGCAGCGGCTGTGGTGGAAATTTTACGTAACTGCAAAACCACAACTCCACGATTGTCGCCACCATTCCGCCAGAGGCACACACTGCAGCAATAAGACCAATGGTGAAATATGTGGCCCTGTTTTTATAAGGCTACATAGATAACAGCCCAGTTCTTGCGATCTGGGAAATTGGAATATTAACGCCGATCCACGAAGGCGGAAATAGATCTGAAACCTAAAACTACTTCCCCGTTCATCTGTTTCATGCATTGTCTAAGTTACTGGTGTCTATCGGAGTCTTGACGTTTGTGTGCCATTTATAAAATTTTAAAGTTATTGCTCTAGACCAACATGGCTTTCGTCAACAACAATGGTGCTCTAAATAATTATTATGGGCTTGGATTCGTTGAACCGTGTCAGTTGACACTGGACGTTTCCTTGATGTGATCGACTTATAATTATCAAAGACATTCAATTTTTTGAGCATTTGATTATCCTTGCAAAAATATAACATTAGGGATATTTGACACTTTCTTGAATTGGATCGTCATATGTTTTCTTGCAATGTCATAATATGTTCAGATTCTAGATTTCCTTAACGTAACCCAAACCTGTAGAGGCTGGTTCGCCCTGGAACTAATTCTTAGATGTACTTTTTCTTTTGGTATTCATCAATGACTCTGCACGGAATATCACTTCAAAATTTGTCATTTATTGATGACATGCAGACATGGCGACGGATGTACGCGGAAGTCGTCCAGCATTTTATTCCGTCTGACTTAGGTACAGTGCTCCATTGGTCAGACGAAATATGCTATTTCAACATGATACTTGCAAGGTACTCTCCGTACTACACCAGAGCAACTACTCCTACAATCTATGAACAAAAGTACTGCAGCCATCATCCTTCTAAGGCGACCGGAGCGTCCAGTTCCAGGTTAACCTGAACTGTTGCGAATAATCTGAAAGCGGATAAACAAACGCTAACCAAAACATAAGTTTGCTACAACCTGGATTCTGATTACTAGACACCACTATTATCAGACGGACGCTTAATGCGTACTTTACCCTCTAAAGAAAATACACACATCGATTGTATTAGTATAGGCTGAAGCACAAACTTACTGCACAAAATCAACCTTAATGGCAGGCTTCCAAATACATAAATGGAATGTGCAACTTTCGTAAGAGCAGAGGCTGAAACGTTTGGGAGAATTCAGCGGGCGGCATCATGAATCACAATTTCAACTTTTTATGGCATATTTGAATTTACACAATACAAAACATGTGTGGCGCTCTTTACTGCAATGGAGCAGTAACACAAATGTAGACGCCAAACATTAAAGTTACAGAAGAGCGTAGTCATCTGGAGTGCCGTAAATTGTGTCAATTCGAGTTTGTTAACCATGAGACGCTCTTCTCGAATCGGTTGATATGTGCCCCCAGATTGGTCATTTTCAAAAATCGGCTGGCTGACACACACTGTCACATAGCTTTTCTTACCTGGCGCTACTTTTCTTCGTACTCCGTTGAAACACCTAGACTTATTTTCTTTCCATCTTAAATCGATGGACTCGATTGAGTGCAGGGCAAACTCATTAAATACAATAAGCTATATTTCCATCATACTTTTTTCGATACCAGAATCGACATAGCATCTTGGTTTTTAAAGTGGCGCCTCCAAACCTTGGGTTATTGACATGAACACAAGTGCAAGTAACCTTGCCGTTAATTTGCGGTGAAGACCAATGTATACAATGTTCTGTTGGTAGGAGGGCACAGCGTGAGTGATATAACTTGGTGCGCGGACATGTGGTGAGGTGATTGTATGAGGCAAACGAACTCATACGGGGTTCCGCGCGGGTCGGAATCTACACGCAACGTGGGACGCCTATAGTAAGCTCGTAAACGACACACGGAACGTCCCAATCTTCAGATACATGCTGAGCTCACGTTTAAAGCTCTAGGCATCTCTGCAACCTTACGATCTAGACATCAAGTACGCATACGGACTTCAAGGCGAGATCGACTGCGAGCGATTCATGCGTGAGAGATAGTATATTAGCGTCCATTACACATCCGTTATAGACACTGATTGCGGCCTGGTAACTGGGGCTGGTGTTGGGGGGGGGATGGGTGTGTCACTACGGTCTAGGCTGGGATCAAGATTGGCTTGCCTTTTAAGTGTAAGGGGTCGGATGATACCATGGTGAGAGCGTGTTTGGAGGACAAGGCGGCCGAACATTCTTGGGGGGCAGGGGGGGGGGTGGGGGGGCTCCATCTATCCGCTTACGCATGCGCGGGGCTCGAAACTAGCTAATCTCCTTGACGCGCAATCGGCTCTCTACATAGTCAGCGAGTAGCATACGAGCTGAGCTAGCACTCCAGGAGAGGGCAGCGAGCACTAGCGCGGACTGACGAGAAATAAAACTGGGACATACAACACTATAACCGTGCTACACAGGCGCACATGCGATGTGCTGTCTGGCGGTAGATCGGGCTTACTACGAATTCTTTTCTACACGTGCACAGGGCGTCTTACACGGGGACAGCGCGCAGGTCTAGGCTAAGGACGAGGTGAGGTAATGCAGTTACTCATATGGATCAGCTGACCCACGCATGCGATTAACTAGCAGAAAGATGGATCGGTAGATATCTCTTGAAGGCGTCATAGACTACTCTCAGCTCGTTCCTCCTTATCGACGCTACGCGTCCCATAGCATTTTGAATCTTTCGCCCATTGTGTACTTAGGCAAACCTTGCAGATTTTTGAGGCCTGTTGCTGTGTGCGACCCTTGTCTTATGTATAGTCTGAGGCATCCTCCATTTTTCTTGCTTGGGCGCCACGTCTCTTTCTGTTCGCAAACGGGCGACACACCTCTATTGCATGACTGACAGTACGTCTTGAGCCTCACTAGCTTTTAGGCGTCCTCTTCATATGCTATTTATCGATGCACGCTAGCGGGTGCCTCATCTGCGTGGACGGTAGGGCGTATGTGTCGACGCCTAGGGGCTAGCACACCAGCAACCTAGAAGCTTCTGTGCGTTCGCGTAGAAGTAGTAGTTAAGATCATTCCTCTGACAAGCAGACTTTTGGCGATCACTATAGGGACGTTGATTGGAAGGGTCGATCACACACAAAAAGGGCGTGATGATATTCCGCGGGATAAGATAGCGCGACAATTACTAAGTCTATGATAGGACTTACCAAGAGCTTTTTACCAGTAAGAACTTCAAGCGTGCGCTAGAGTATCACTCAATCGATCGTATTGTCTCATCGTTGCGCATCTAAATATTAGCACGGATAGACCTACACATGTGCTGTCTACTTTTTATCATTGCCTTTTTTTGGTTGCTTGTGTCTGCATTGAGATATGTATAAGTGGGTTATATATAATGTTAGCGTGTGTTTATGGGATCTTGTTAGTTGTAGGGGGGGGGGGAAGAACTGGGCATCAAACATAGACATGGTATGCTTTACGTGGCATTCGAAAATATCGTTCAATGTATAAGGGTAATCGTCATCATATGCCTTGATGCGCACTCAGCGTTACCTCTTATTCTGGGACATGGATCCTATTCCGGGGGATTACGCGGGTAGACAATGCAGATCGTGTGGGCTACATTGGGAACGGGTGTGTTAACTCGGGGTGCGGTCTTGGAAGTAAGGGACAATATAAGTGGGGAGCTTAGGACATATATTGAATCATACTGGAGCTTGGGATATCTCTTGGATCTCTTGACAAGATTGGGTGAACTGGTGAACAGGGACGTGTTAAGGATGCATCGGTCGAGGCGAGTGAGGGGAAAGTATTTGTTCTGTGTTTTGGCGATAGTTAGAGTGACTTACACTGGGACATTAAGGATTGAAAGTGGGGGTTGGTGAGGGTGAAGGGGCAAGGGTAGAGTGGTGTGACATGTGTAAGTTGAGGGGTGAAGGGGAGGGTATACAGTAAGGCAGGGGAGGATTAGTATTGAGGGGGTACAAAGGGGTGTGGTATGTAGTGGCAGGGGGAGCTACGTTACTGATGGGGTGACCAAGGAACATGAACTGACTATCTTGATATCGGTAGGGGGTATGTATGCTAGGACAGGGTGGGGTGCAGTAGACGGATAGGGCCGGTAGGGAGGTTGAAGGTATTTGGGTAACACTAGGAGGTGGCTGTGATGGGTTGGACGGAGTATGGTCGGGTGGCAAAGGATAGGGTGGGGGATGTAGGACTAGATGGGCGTGGGTAGGGTGGCGGACGTCGTTTTAGAGGGAATTCATAGTCGGGAATGGGGGGGGGTGGCACACGACGGGTGGGGGTTGGACAGTGGCGTGGATTGCGGGGAGTTAATTAGGGAGGCCGGACATTATGGGGTTCTCTTCATGGTAGGTGTGGGTGCGTCACGACAGGGTGTAGGGGTTAGAGACGGGAGCACAGTGAGTACATTAGTACAAGTGAATCGTAGTAGGGTGGGTAGAGACATTCGGGGGGAGTATGAGGGTGGGTGAACGGGGGGGTAGTGGTGGGGGGGGGGGGGGGGGGGGGGGGGGGGGGGGGGGGGGGGGGGGGGGGGGGGGGGTGGGGGGGGGGGGGGGGGGGGGGGGGGGGGGGGGGGGGGGGGGGGGGGGGGGGGGGGGGGGGGGGGGGGGGGGGGGGGGGGGTAGGTCTGATACTATATAGTTGTGTATCAGACTCTGGAGATCTAGTGAGAGGTTTACAGTAGTCTTGAAAGGGGAGAAGGTAGGTTAATTGACAGGGGAGGAGTAAGTACTATTGATAGGTATATACATAACAACAGAATTAAAGGGCAGAGAGTGGGACATTGATTGGAAGGAACTGTAAGTAAGGAAGGTGTAGGTTGACTAATGGTAGGGGGTAGATGGTGTAATGGGAGAAGTAGAGGTATTAACATGTAGAGTTGGAGGGGGGGGGCAGGGAATGAGTTGGGACTGTAGTTGACACAGTGGAATGGGTGTGAGAGATGAGGATGAGAGGCAAGGGGGAAAGGGGATAGGAGCAACTTATGGTCAATTAACTTTATCTATTCTAATGTAGGGTAGAGAGGGGCAGGTGGGGAACTCAACATTGTCTGGAAGAAATTACGTCTAGACATGTAAGGTCACAATATTATAATAACAGGGGGAGTGTGAGGGTAGAAGGGTCATGAAGTATGTGGGTAATGGCAGGGAATGGTTCTAGTTATAGATGGTGGGTCAGGGTCTTACATGTGAGGAATGAAACACATTCAATAGCACCGGTGGGTGTGGTGACAGTGGGATGGATGGATACATAGAGAGAAAGTCATGAGGTCAGCGGAGTGCAGGAAGTGTTAAGCGGATGTGTATAGTACGATGATGTATGTTGGCACGTTTATGTCATGGATATTCAGATCAGCATATGAGCAGGTCACATATGTGTCATTGGGAGAGGGACAGTGGGAGATTGGAGGGCGTGATGTATATTGGGTTGTTAGTGGGTAGGGGGGGGGGATATGATGGAAGTGATAGCAGACGAGGGTGAATGATACACATAGTACTACTGTGAGAGAGAGGTTAGGTAGGAGGATATCTCTCTTTGTGCGATCTGAATAGTTAAGACTGGAGGAAGATTAGGTGGGAGGCACTTGAGTCAGGGAATTATAAGAGAGTAAGTGAGGGACGAGTGATAGTGTATATGTGTAGAGGATCTGTTTTATGGACATGGAGAGATTAGAGGGTGATAGTGATGGTGGGATAGGATGTTAGAGTGAAGTGAGTCACACACGTGATCAGAGTAAAAAGACTAATAAATGTGTGCAGTATGGAGGGACGGACGAGTAATGGAGTGATCTTAAGAGGGTAAGAGTGTGTGGAGGTGGCATTGCGGTATCTGGGGATACACTCGTAGTGGGTGGAGTGATGAGACGTAAGCACATGGTGGCGTTGGTCGAAGAGAGCTTCGAGATTTGGTGATGCAATTGTTTATCTATTGACTTCTTATTTTTAATTAGTTGGTTAGGTGAAGGTGTAGAGTGGAGGCGGAGATCTGTGTTTTTAAGAGATTACGGGTAGTGGGAGCGAGAGGGGGAAATACAAAGGGGGTCCGTATTGGCAATTATTCACGGGTCAGGGAGTTAGTGGATTCATGCGTAATGGACATGAGTACTCACAGGCATAAGGATTGAGACTCTGCAAGACATGACAGCGAGGGACGTAAATAGCTTAGAATATAAGATGGTGTTGGCGCCGGGCGGCGACGCTCTTGTGTGCGAATGAGAGTAGAGGGTTGTGTACGAGTTGGATCAGGCTTCTGTGGCGGGAGGGTGGGTGTGGAGCTGAAACATAGAGGCACAACAGTGAACGCACGCATCATGTGGTCGTTGACGAACATGGTCTACATTACGGGTAGTGTGGGGTGGTGGTTACGGGGGGGGGAGAGTGGTGATAGATCATTGCGAGAGAGTAGAGGAGCGGAGATTGATAGAAGTGACACGGTAGTATGATAGTAAACAGGGTGTTGGACAAAACAGAGTGGTGGCGGACTGATGGAGGGGCGAGATGGATGCGGCTAGGAGGAGGGTGTGGTGTTGAGGAGCTGGCTCTTAGGACGTTAGGTGAGACGAGCGGGATAGTGGTTTTACACACTGAGGACATTGTAGATTCAGGATCTAGTTAACGTGTGTTGGGGTGTATATGCATGTGAGTGAGGACTAGGGTGATGGAGGGCGACACGATCATTATTAATAGTCATGTGCTGGGGGGATTGAGTTATAGACATGAGGTGCGGGGGGGGGAAAAGGGTGGTAGTGGTGCACTCAGATCGACAAGGGTGATGTGCAAGAGAAAGGAGACACTGTGTTTGGGGAAATTAGGATTTATTGGATGCATTTCAGGACAGCGGAGGAGGGAGACGCGGTGATATACGGGACACGGGGTTCATCAACTAGAGTTATATAGGAGTGGTGTTGAGGAAGCGGGTAGAGGATATGGATAGTTGACTATTATGGAAGAACAGTGTATGTCATTAGATAATGAGGCCGTTAGATGGAGGGAGCAGCGGGTGTGCTCTGTGTATTTGGAAGGAGTGTGCAGAGTGTTATGGAGTCGATATCTATGGTGGTGTACATAAGATAGAGTGACTCATCGGTTACATTGTTACTTATGAGACAGGGGGAGAAGTGTGAATTACATCACAAAACAGGATCATATTCTCGGCAGCACGGCGCTTAGTGTAGGTCACACTATATCAATTGTGGACGATGACACACAATCTTCCGTGTGATGGGCACATTGAATGTGTATGCGTACGATTGGAGGGATGTACAGTAGATAGGGGGATGGTGAGGAGGAGCACATATGTAGGGGCGAGAAGTGTAATGTGGAAAAGATACAGATAAAGATGTTATATTAATGGGATGAGGGATTAGTATCGACTCAGGACGGGAGAGAAGGTTGGAGCGGGTTAGTCAACGGGGGTAAACATAGGAGTGTGATAGAGGTCATGTCATGAACGATTTGAAGTCGCATACAGAAGTAAGAGTTTAATGATTGTGGTTATAGAGAATAGATAGATGGTTTATAAATTAGAATAGGATGAAATTTAGAATAGAATGATATTATGTTGATTGTTAATTAAGTAAGTATTATAGAACGGTAGCACAGGTGGCGGAGCATAGGAGATACGGGGATCGACAGTTAAGGGGGGGGTAGGATGGGGTGTAGGTCATGAGGGGGAGGGTATTAAGGGGGAATAGATGGATGTGTGGAGGGTTAGGGGGGAACGATGTCATAGGGGATAGGTATACACTGACTATTATTTGAATGGAACGTTCTATAGGGTGACAAATCATGTCGGAAGAGGGTGATATGTGTTAGAGAGGAATGGGTGTATACATAATAGTAGAATGTGGGTATGATGAGGTGAAGTGAAGGGGGAGATCAGGTATCAGTAAGGGACATTTAGTGGGGCGGTGGGACACTATGAGGGATAGGAGTGATACAACGGTGTGACACGGTAATGGCATACTCATTCGAAGTGACTTGGACGGTTCTGTGAGGAGTGTAGGCTAGAGAATGGTAGGAGTATTGTTATGGTAGATAGCTTATAGACAACATCGGATAGAAGGTAGATAGTGAGGGATGTAGGGTTATGTTGAATAGAGAGGGGGGTTTGGGGTGGTATAATACTAATCAGTGACAGTTGATACGGACATGGGTGGTCTGTTGTTTAAGGTGAGATGTGTATTTTGGAGGGGGGTGTTGGAAATAGTGAGGGTGTGGTGGGTGAAGAGGTATTTGGGGATAACACACATAGGAGGACACAGTTGGTTTAGGTTGGGTTAATGGGTTTGTCTAGATAAGAGTGATGTGTTAGGAGGATGGTGTAGACAGAGAGGCACATAGGGTGTATAGTTGAAGATCTGAGGGGGGTGTTAACTTGGGGATTGGTGTGTAAAGGTATAGGAGATTTTAGGGCGTAGGAGGGGTATGGGGAGCTTAATGAGGTGTGGCATTGTTGTTTTGGTAGACAAGTAGGTGGCGCCTAGACATACTGTGCGGGAGTAGTATTTCGAATGAGGGTACATTAGGAGTGTAAACGTGTTGATGGGTATAGGGATGACGAGTTGACACGTAATATGATAGTAGGCACACGATACACATAGCGGATAAACGATCTGGTAGGGATGTAGAAGGAGGGGATGAGGGAAATGGGTGGGTTGTGAGTTGAGTGGTAGATAGTCTGGGGACGTGTGTGTGACAGATAGTGAGGAGTGGGGTTGGACACATAGGTAGGTTGTCATATTCTAGATTGGGGTGATGATGAGATGTGTTGTATGGAGGATGATGGTAGGAGGTGGTGAAGAGATGTAGTTATAATGGGTATTGTAGCTATGATAGGGAGGATAATGGGGAGAACATGAGGGTTGATGTGTTGGCATAGGGTATGGCTGTTAGTTTAGGGAGTGCGGGAATGAAGTAATTGGGATTGATATGTTATTTGGGAGATGTATTTTGGAGGGGAGAGACATAGTTGATTGAGAGTTGAGGTTTATGTAATTGACGTGTGTTATAGTAGGGGTGGATGAGGGATTCCGTCTTCAATGAAATGTGCATTGGAAAGGACCTGTACATCGAAGTTTTTAGTTTGTGCATAAAATAGATTTTTACATTATCTTAAGTCGATTTAAAAGTTTGGCAAAAATGCGCTAATACATTCTATGTAACCACCTTCCGAATTCGTAGCAAAATATATCCTATCACGTTTTGAATATTAACGCTGGGATATCGCACAGCATCCTAGATCTTTTTTCTGGACACGAAAGTTTGCCTAAAAGAAAAAGTGCTATGGATGGGGATTTAATGATATGGTTTCGGTTTTTAATGGAAACAAATCACGAATATTTATTTCAGCTCGTTGGGATTGATGCTCGATAGGGTTATTAAAGGGGCATATTTCTCATCGTTTTAACAAGTTGTATACTTAGCCTTTTGAGGATACTTTTATAACGTGAACTGCGGACATTGCAGTATTTGGGGAGAAAAATGCACTACGGACTAGACTATTTAACAACGCTGCATTTAACCTGTCCTAGGTAATATTCGTGCTAGTGGCATGAGTGCCGTCATACGACGAAGTTGATAAGTTAATCGTGGTCGAGCAGTAAGGTTTACTCGGTAAACATTTTAAACAGTTAAACAAAA